GGTACTGGAATTTCAAATTTTGTCTGTGGATTGACATCAGAATGCCTCTCCCAGGCAGGAAGCTTACCAACTGGGAAACACCAGGCTTATTTACCTAATAATTATTTCTTTCCTATGAGAAAAAAGCCAACTGCCAGGCTCCTTAATTCCAGACTGCCTGTATTGGTTTCCCCAGGAGATGGAATCCTGAGCGTCAAGAGTTCTAGCCACAGGGGCTGGGACCACCAACCAGCTGGCTCTGATTAGCTGAGCAGCCACTGGTGTCCTGGAACAACTGAGGTCTTGGGTCACCAAGGGTCTGGAAGAGGGACCCTGAGGCCTGGAAGGAGCTTGAGTCCCTGAGTGGTTGGCTTAGGGGCTGGGTCTGCTGGAGACAGTCCCACCTCCTCCCCTGTTGCACAGAGCAGTTAGAGACCAAGACAGCTTGGTGTGAAACAGAACAAAGATGCAAAGAAGAAGCAAATGGGAGGGCTTGGGCAAGTTGCTTGAGACCCATTTTACCCATCTGTAAAGTGGAGATATTAATAATCTTGACTAACTTTTTGATCATTCAAAAGCTCATGTCTGGGGCTTCCCTGGTGGCGCAGTGGTTGAGAGTCCGCCTGCCGATGTGGGGGACATGGGTTCGTGCCCTGGTCCGGGAAGACCCCACATGCCGCAGAGCGGCTGGGCCTGTGAGCCATGGCCGCTGAGCCTGCGTCCGGAGCCTGTGCTCCGCAACGGGAGAGGCCACAACAGTGAGAGGCCCACGTACCGCAAAAAAAAAACAAAAACAAAAACAAAAGCTCATGTCTGGATGAATGGATAAAGAAGATGTGGCGCGTATATACAATGGAATATTGCTCAGCCATAAAAAGAAACAAAATTGAGTTATTTGTAGTGAGGTGGATGGACCTAGAGTCTGTCATACAGAGTGAAGTAAGTCAGAAAGAAAAACAAATACCATATGCTAACACATATATATGGAATCTAAAAAAAAAAAAATGGTTATGAAGAACCTAGGGGCAGGGCAGGAGTAAAGACGCAGATGTAAAGAGTGGACTTGAGGACACGGGGAGGGGGAAGGGTAAGCTGGGACGAAGTGAGAGAGTGGCATGGACATATATACAATACCAAATGTAAAATAGCTAGCTAGTGGGAAGCAGCCGCATAGCACAGGGAGATCAGCTCGGTGCTCTGTGACCACCTAGAGGGGTGCGATAGGGAGGGTGGGAGGGAGGCACAAGAGGGAGGAGATATGGGGACGTATGTATATGTATAGCTGATTCACTTTGTTATAAAGCAGAAACTAACACAGCAATGTAAAGCAATTATGCTCCAATAAAGATGTTACAAAAAAAAAAGATCTCATGTCTTCAAAGCACCTTGCCTGGGTCATAGTTGATGCTAATGAATGTAAGTCGTCAGCTTTACTTGTGGGGCACCTGTTAGTGCCCCCATTGACTCAGTTTCCCGTTAGGATGTGATGCTGTCTGCCCCACCTCCAGCCTCCTGAACTGTGTTGAGATGACATTTGTCTTGTCTTTAAAATGCTTCAGTGATCCATCCGAGGCTGACTGTTGGGCCAATGGAGGCTGTTATTACGTACACAGGTAGAAGAGGGCTGGGTGGAGATAAATAGGTTTACTTTGTGTCTATATAGACTCCACTTGTGTATTCATAATAACAATATTCTAATGACATGGTGTAGCTGAGAAATGCCTGTCTCTGAGGTCTGGGGGTGGTTCTTGCTCCATTGGCCCTCTGGGTGTCCCTTTGGGGCAGAGAGCAGTGGAAATCTCCTTTCCTGATCTACAGATGGCATCACTGGTGTGAAACAGGATCAAGCCAGCAGCAGAACAAGAAAGTTCTGAGTTCTCTCTACCCTACCACCCTTCACCCTCTTTTGGCGTCTGGTTCTTAAAGACCAAACGTAGTTTCTGAGAAGGTCTGTGGTGGCTGGCATTGAGGACAGCGTGTCGTGGACACAGGTGCTCAAAACCATTGGCTGTCGTGAGGGGTTTTCCTCTGGGAGGTCAATGGGAACTCTTCGCGCTTGGAACCGCAAGCTGAAATTATTGCTGAAATAAACATTTTAGCCAGGCTGTGAGGTGACTCACCCCAGGATCTTAGCACATTAGTCCCCAGCCTAATGCGATGCTCGGTTTAAGGAGCTGCGAGAGTGCTCTTTTGGGTAACAGCGTCTGGAAATTGGCACTTTCAGGGATTTGGGGAAGGGGAAGGAGAGATGCTTGCTTGGCGGGTTGGAGGCTTGGCACCTTGACATTGCTCGTGGGGGATGTCCTGATATCAGCAGGGTGACAGACCCTGTGCCGGTGACAGCTCCGGCCTCCAGCGTGGGGCCACTTCCACGGGAGGTTACCATTTGCGCCCAGACTAGGGAACAGAGCAGGAGATGCAGAAATTAGACACAGTGTCGGTCTGCACCTGGTTCTGCCCCAAATCTGTTTGACCTTGAGAAACTCCGTTAACACAGTTTCCCTGTTGGTGTGGTGGGAATGACTCCACTGGAGGAGAGATTCTTCCAGAGCCCCCGCAGAGTGTTCAGGTGATCGCTGAGCCTTCTGAGACTGAGAACATGAATGATTCCCTCTTTGACTGTCCCTTCATTCAGTTACATTTCTTGAGCATCTACTCCTGCCAGACACTGTTGTAGCTGCCAGGGATGTAGCAGCGACGAGACAACTGCAGCCCTTGTTTCCATGGAGCTTATATTCTGTGGGAGGGGATTTCCAGTACACACAGGGCGTGTCAGGGGATGGTAAATGCTATGTACAAAAAAAAAAGCCAGGTGAAGGGTTAGCATGATGGGAGCGGGTGCTTTTTAGTATTTAGGTAGGTGGTCAGAGGAGAATGAGGTGAGGTATGTGGGTGCTGAGTCCCTAAGGCAAGAGGATATTGCCGGTTGGCTAAAGGAACCAAGTCATTTTTTTTTTAGCAATGTGACTTGTGGGATCTTAGTTCCCCGACCAGGGATCGAATCGAACCCGGGCCCCCAGCAGTGAGAGTGCCAAGTTCAAACCTCCAGACCGCCAGGGAATTCCCGACCAAATCATTTTTTTTTTTTTTTTTTGGCGGTACGCGGGCCTCTCACTGCTGTGGCCTCTCCCGTTGCGGAGCACAGGCTCCGGACGCGCAGGCTCAGCGGCCATGGCTCACGGGCCCAGCCGCTCCGCGGCATGTGGGATCTTCCCGGACCGGGGCACGAACCCACGTCCCCTGTATCAGCAGGCAGACCCTCAACCACTGCGCCACCAGGGAAGCCCCCAGGTCATTTTTTAAAAGTTGTTGGTAAATTAGTATCTTTGTAGACTGGGCATATCTGAAGCCTACCCAGACTACCTTCCTTATTAGCCATTTGAGTTCTTATCTCCTCTTGCCCCTTCCCCTTACATGAAGTCCCCTGGAGGAGGGGACCAGACCTGTGTTTCTGTGTCCTGGCTTCCATTCTGTGGCCTCCCAGGGGTCAGGCTTGGTGCTGACCAAACGCCGAGCTTTGTCTTCATCAGTCAGTCCTTCCGCAGCCCAGGGGGAGGTGCAATTGCTCATTTCATCCACAGATGGGGAAACTGGTGCTCAGAAAATTAGTAACTTGACCGAGATCACACAGCTAGTAGGTATCACAGCCAGGACTTGGTCCCAGATTGTAGACCTCAAAGCAGTGTGAAAAGACCTTGTCTTGATCTTAAAAGAAAGTAGATTCACATTAAGTGTCAGGTCCACTTTTCCTTTAAATTTTTATCTCTTAAAAGAAAAAGTTTGTCCTCTCCTTGATATTCCTTGGTTTAAGCAACTCAAGCATTTGCTTATCTTTGTGCCTTTAGCAATTTCCTCATTAGGTCGGCTTTGAGTTATCCCTTCTGTAAAGGATTTCTGCTGGGTTGGTGTGAGGTTGAATCTCCCCGTTGGAATCGGGGATGCTCTTGGAAAGTCACCCACTAGGACCACGAGGGTCTAGTGTGAGCCTCCTCAGTAATGGGGTGGGACAGAGATAATTGGGGTCTTGGCTGTTCTGGACAATCAGGAAGGAAAGTCACTACACTTGAATATATTTCCGATTGGTTTCCCTTGGGAGGTTTCCTGTGGCCCCAGCCCCCTCCACCCTGTGTGACTGCTCACAAGGGGGGACTGAAAGTTCCTTCTGCCAGGGCAGTGAGTGCAGGACACCAGGTTTGGAATCAAACACAACCTGGTTTGAATTCACCAACTCTACTGCTTACTAGCTATGTGTCCCCAAGCAAGTTAGTTAATGTCCCAAGCCTCAGTTTACCCATCTCTAAAATGGGATCGTATTACCCACCTCAGAGTTGTTGGACAGGCATCTGTATGGTTAGCATCCTTCATACCCATGAGGCCTGCTGCCTACCTATGCCATAAAGGGGAGGGGAAATTCCCATTTATCCAGAGTCCAACGGACCTGAGTGTGTGTGTGTATAAAATTTTTTAAATATTTGAAGTTTGAAATATTGGGATTTGATGAGACAGGTGGTTTTGAAGGAGTGCTAGCCTTCCAAATCATCAGAAAGGCCTTCTGAGTCATCAGGAAATTTCCAGAATGGTCTTTATGTTTTGTGTAATATTCCAACTTAGTCAACTGGATGATTTGCTAGAACCCTCCAAGCCATTCTGGGGAAAGAAGAGTTTACTCCCTTTTCAATCATCTCAAGAGCCACAGGGCACGCATAGCCCAAGGAAAGTAGCAAACACGCCCCAGCTCTAGCCTTTCTCACCTGCGACACAGCCAGTTGGCAAAAGTGGAAAATCAGGCACATTGGCATGCATACGGATTTTAGCCCCAGCAGATAAGCATACCAAGTGTGTCATTAAAGCTGTCCAGAGTGGTCACCATAGGGATCCTGTGTTTGCTGTGAGTCACTAAGGGCTATAAACACTCCAGAGCGGATGGCAAGCCGTGGTTACAAGGTGTGTGCGTACAGGTGTGTGCAGCTATTTTGTATGAATTTACTCTCCGTAAACGCGTTTCGTATTGAGCACATCAGATGAGTGCCTGTCCAGGAGGGGAAAAGTCAGGATTGCCTCCTGTTCACGCAGACCACCCCTTCCGTTCCCCTTGGGGTAGCCACCCTGAAGGTGGGGACTTCAGGCTTTCTCTTGTCTGCTGTTTGGATGCCTTCAAGAGAAGCCAGTTAGAAGACGCTGATTGTGGCAGTTCCTCAGAGCCCTCACCAAATGGCATTAGCCCAGCAGGTGCTGTCACAGCCCCAAATTTGGAAGAAATTAACAGCCAGAAAGGTATGACAGGTATGTGAGTCCCGCCTGGTGTCCTGGCCCTGAACTGGGTGACGCTAAGCCTGGGCTAAGGAGAAGGGGAGTTGGTGGATTCAGTGGTGGCGAACCTCTGATTGCGTCGTGCTGGGTGTTGGGGACCTCTTCGGGAACACCCACCACCCGGTGGCCAATCTGCAGGTGCTGACAGCTTCATCTTTTGTCGCCGCCCGGGTTTGGAGGCTGGCTTGGTCTCCCAACTAGTTTGGGCTGTAACTTTATCACAGGCATTGTGTTCAGTACCTTTTAATTGTACAGAAGCTTCAGAAAGCTCTCCCTGGGGGCCTGGAGAGAAGTAAGAACAACAACTGCTAGTTCCTGTATGCTTTATTCCCTCACCTTATGGCTCAGCCTTGCCGGTGCGCTCCTAACTCTGAAGTCCTATGTTCCCCGGGGCAGGGAAGAATCCGTATTTCTTTTGGGTAAGGTCCTATTAATGATGAAGAGTCACTTACTGAGGGCCGCCCAGGAGCTGAGCACTTTGTTACCTGCGTTCCTGTTCATCTCTCCCGGCCCCTGTAAGGCAGCTGGCGTTCTCCGCATCTTACTGGACAGACAGTTGAGGCTCAGAGAGGTTACACAGGTTATAGTAAGCGACTTTTCCAAGCTGCCGTGCTGGCAGCCTGCCCCACTGCTTCTTCCATGTGGTTTAATTCATCAGCTGACGATTCCCCGACAGCCAGTGGGGCACCAGGCAGAGGCTGTGATGCTCAGACTCATGGGATTTTCTTATCTTTGGCACGCTGTCATCCAGTCAGCCAGGGACAGTTGGGAGGGAGGGCCCCTGGGGCCCAGAGCTGCTCCCTTGGCTCCAGCAGACTTACTGCATGCCTCTGGCCCAGCCAGAATCCAAAGAGGCTGGCTGGCCCATGATGGAAGATTCGACCCTGGCCATTTGGGAACCTGGAATGCAGAGCCCTGAGGGGGAAACCTCGGCAGGGATGGGGTCAATTCAGTCCCTCTCCAAAGCGAGGGAACTGAGGCCCAGAGCGAGGAAGGGACCGTACTGCAAGGTGTCATGTGGAGTAGTTTCCAGGGTCAAATGTGGAAACTTACAAAGGCACTTGGATGTCTTGGCAAAGCTGGGCGTTCTCTCTCTTCAACCTCTTCCCTAGCTCCCTCCTGCCTTTTGAAGGGGGGGGGGGCCTCAGACGTTGGGGATCACAGCGGTCTGGGGTGATTGCTAGTGTGCAAATTCTCAGGCTCCACCTTGAGGTTTTGACTCTGTAGGTCTGGGGAAGGGCCCGGGAATCTGTATTTTTATCAAGTGCCCCGGGTGATTTTTTTGTGTGTGTGTGGTACACGGGCCTCTCACTGTCGTGGCCTCTCCCGTTGCGGAGCACAGGCTCCGGACACGCAGGCTCAGCGGCCATGGCTCATGGGCCCAGCCGCTCCGCGGCACGTGGGATCCTCCCGGACCGGGGCACGAACCCGCGTCCCCTGCATCGGCAGGCGGACTCTCAACCGCTACACCACCAGGGAAGCCCGCCATGGGTGATTTTGATGCAGGGTTTCCACAGGTCAGACTTTGAGAACCTCTGCTATTCACCTTTCTGGGGCTGGTTGATTTTAGAGTAAGGAACAAGGGAGGCCACGTACTCTGGCCACATACCCCTGCGCCCTGACAAAATCCTTAGCAGCGTCCTTTTCCCTCCCACAGGTGACCCAAAGTGGAGGTGAGGTGCATGGACGTCCTAGTTAAATCCCACTTCTTCCTTTTCTAATCCAATTCTCCGCCCCCATCTCTCCCTGCCCTGCTCACCCCCCACCCCAACTCATATTCTCAGAATCTATTAGAGGCACATGCATTTCTGTCTTGTTCTCTCACAAGACAGTGCTGCGGTAAGAAAGCAGCCAGAGTCAGGCTTTGTCTTTGCTCGGATGTCCTCGGCTCTGCGCCCCAGGCCGCCGCTAGCATTCACTCACCCTTTCACTCAATCAGTATTCCTTCTTGAGCTCCTGGGAGGGGCCAGGTCCTGGGCTGGGGTGCTGAGGAGTCACAGGAGACCACACCCTTGACCGTCCTGATTCTTCAGACTTGGTACCAAACCCAACAGCCCAGGCCGCCCCCTCCCTGCCCCACTTGGATCCCTTTTGTTGGTGGTTTGAATGCTGTGCCCATGGCGGACGTGGTCAGCTGAGTGGCCAGTCTCTGCTTGCTCTTGGCATCTCTCACCGTGTCCACAGTACAGCCGGGAGCCGCGGGGACTGTTTCCGTCGCTTTATGTACCCTGCGGACTTTCTCAGCTCCCCTTGGTGGGGAGCCCAGGGGCCTGGGTGGCTGACCAGAAAGGAGACTTCCATCGCTGGCATTCCCTGTGGGCTCCTTCCTCCTGGGCTCTGGAGTGGACGTGGATGCCCGCCCCCACCCCCCGCCCCCCACAAGCTGGACTGCTTTCTTCAGTGTGGATAGAAACGGCTGCCCTGGGTGGAGTCTTTCCTCTCTTTTGTACCCTGAGAGAGACCGGGGGAAACCCCTTTTTACAGAAGGGGAAATGGAGGCACAGTGTGATCTCTTTGGGCCAGAGCTGTCTGATAGAAGTCTCTGCCTGTGCTGTCCTATATGGTAGCCATTGGATTTAAAATGTAGCTAGTATGACCACAAAACTGAATCTCAAATTTTATTTGAAAGGCCACATGTGGCCAGTGGCTACCGTATCAGATGGTGCAGCCAGCCCTGAGTCAGGGCTTGATACCACAGACGTGTCTGCGGCCCGTCGCAGCTCACGAAGCCTGTGGTGTGTTTCTCCACTGTCTGTGCTCGTCTAAGGCTGCTGCGCTTCTCCATGTGGTCTCTGGACTGCCTGCGTCAAAATCACTCAGAGCTTACGTGGTTTTTAAGTTCCTGGACCCTCTACCGGACCTGGACAGTCCAATATCTGCAGTGGCCCCAGGAATCTGCACTTTAGACTCGTCACCTCCACCCCCAGGTGATTCTGATCTTCTCTGAAGTTTGAGAACCACGGGCTCTAGCACGTTCCATCTCTACTCCTGGCGGTCGCCCCAGCCTCCAGTAGCGCCTCGGTACCTTTCTGCCTTTGTCCCCCACCCCAGCCCCTACCACCCCACTTCATGCCAGGGGCTCTCAAGTTAGGGTGCCAAGACCAGCAAATCAGCCTCACCTGAGAACTTGTGAGGAGCGCAGATTCTCAGCCTGCCCCACACCTGCAGAATCAGAAACTGGGGGTGATCCCCACCTTCTGGGTCTTAACAGCCCCCTCACGGTGATGCTGATGCGGCTTCAGCTTGGAGCCAGCCACCGCACAAGGCTGCTCTAGGAGGCTCCTTCCACTTAAATGTCCCCCCAAATCTTTTCTGTCTTCTCCTTCTCCCCCCGCTCCCCT